TGGGGTTAAAAGGTGTTAGAAATTATTATAATAAGTTACTGCCCAAGCTTGGGTTTATCCAATAAGCAAATTGCAACACATCTTCAAGTTTGAAATTAACATTACCCCGCCTAAATCCAGCCCCTTCAAAACTCTCTGACTGCTTTTTTGAGATATCCAGTACATTTCAAGAAATGACAAGCTAGGCAATTGAATCCAGTTTTTATCATCATCAAGGCTAAATTCTGAGCAAGAAAGAACTATTAGGACAGCTAATTTCACAGCTATAGTTTTGTCTTTGAGGCCTAGTCAGTTCCACAAACAGTTACAAGTTACATTTGCGGGTTACAAAAATACAAGCTTCATATTAGACAAAAGTTCCAAATGCCTCCAAGAAGCACATATTTATTGCTTATTAATTTCTTTGGTTTTGGCCATCACAATGGTCCAATGCCCCAAGGCCTTGCTGGAGCACTCTGTGCTCCCTGCACTACTCTGATGCAAAATCAGGTCCACCACCTAACTCAGCCAGGACTCAGGGAGGTACATGCAGACACATGGAGCCCCAGCACTCACACTGACATTGTGGCCGCCATAACCCAGCACCTCTCCAGCCCCCTGCCTGGCTGACCCCATGTGAAGCACCCATGGCATGCGGCTTGAGCACACCCACCTGTGGAAACGTATGAGACTCTGGTGTCCTCTGGAGACAGCAGGAGTGGAACTCCATGTTACAGGAAACCCTGCAATAACAGCCCAACTCCAGCCCCAGATCCTGGGGGAGTGAGAGGGGCAGAAGCATGTGGATCTGACCCAGACCCCTGCAGTACTAGGGCATGGGAAATGTACAGTGCTGACACAGGACTGTATAGGGCTGGACCAGGGGGTACATCCAGCCTGGGGAGATGGGGATGTTGGTACAGGCTGGTACTTATGACTCAGGTGTCTGCTGCCATATTTATACCTGTTCCTGAGTGCCAGCTCCTGGAGCAGCTGGTGCTGGGGCCTGAAGTGCTGCTGGGGGCCAGAGCCCTGGTATTGTGCTGGTAGAGGAGGTGGGGACCAGGCCTGGATGATCCCCAGGACTGGAGCTTAAGCCCTTCTGGATTGAATCACTCTATAGCTGCTTCCCCAATGATAGGGAGGTGCCCATGAAGCCCCCAGGAACAGGACTGCAGGTGTGGGCACCAAATGAGGGCATGCATGCAGGAGGTGGAAGCCTCCTGCCAGCTGTTCAAGGGCAACACAGGTCTGACCAGGCTGGGTGGCAATGTGGGCTCATGTTGCCCAGTCCCACCTGCCCCAGGACTGCCAGGACTAACCAGGGCCTCTGCAGCCACAAGACCACACACCCTGATCCTGACAGTGGTACTGTAACACTTGTTTACAGACCCAATGACTGCTTGCCACAATGACAAAGGCAGCTGAGCAGGACCTGGTGCCAGGTGGCACGACCAGCTCAGAGACAGCTCTGATCCAGAGCCAGACGTTCAGAGAGGCCTGATGTCACTGGCAGGGAGCCTCTGGGACTCCAGCGTGCCACTGCTGAACAAGGAGTGAGTATAGGTAGGTAGTGGAGTCTGCATGGTATGGGATGGTGGATGCTGAGCACGTGGGGCAGAGCCCTCTGTGAACAGACATAGGTGGGGCCACGTCAGCAGTGAGGCAGTCCTGGGTGCCTGCTCCCTTGATTAACTGTTTGGTTTTTACTTAATGTTTAATGGTTAAGGTTTTCTCTAAGGTTGTGCATTTATCTCTTTTTCCCCTGCAGTAAAACCCTCTTTTAGCTGAATGTCTCTTGCAAATAGGGACTTTTCTTCACTTTAGAACATAGTTACAATTTATTTTACCAAGTTTCTGGGTAGGACCTTGAGCCAAGTTTAGAAAGTTGGTGTTAAACCCCAAATGTGAACCCCCTTGTTATTGCTGCCCAGGGCCTGGCAGAAGGGTTACATTTTTATTATATAAAACAGAAGTCAGTAAAAAAAGTTTGTTAATAAAAAGTTTGCAGATTGTCAGTAAAAACACTTGAATTGGCAGCCCTGTGGCTGGGTCACAATAAGCCTGGTCCCACTCCCTACCTCATGAAAGAAATGGCCCAGAAGGTCAGTCAGAGTTTTCCTGGCACTACAAACCAGTGTCAGTAACTACCTGGTGGTGGGCATCCTGGGCTGCATGTGATTCATGTATGTTAGGTACAGCCTGGGGCAGGGAGGGCTTTGTTTACAAACAATGCTCCAGGCAAGTGCAATTCACCTTCTGCACTCCTCCATGCAGAGAGATGTCAGCTAGCGTCAAGATGATGCCATGGGGCAGGCCCTTCCCTGTGGCAATACCAGAGACCTCCCCAGGTGAGAGTGCACGGTTCCAGATGGCTAAGCCAGCCAAATGTCCTACAAAGGCTTCTGAGGGGTCAAACCCGCCACCTACTACATCTTGCTCCTGGCCCAGGATGAGTGAGCCACCAGGAGGAATCACGTAGCCCTTCTGGAATTTGGAGCCCATGGATACCAGCCTCCTGTTCACATAAAACCAGTACTGGCCCTGCACAGAGGACCAGATGATGCACAGGTGGTGCCACCTGCTGTCCAACAATTGTCCCACGGGCAGCTCCCGGAAAGCTGGGTCTCCAATGACGAAGTGGATGGAGCCATGGACCCTGGCATTCCTGCCATGCAAAACCAGCTTATTGTCATTCTCCTCCATTGCATAAGACAGAATAGTGCCCAGGTAGGAAGAGGGGGTGCTCACCCAGCTGCAAAGGGACAGTTCATAGAGGCTGGCCTTGAAGCCTGGGATCAAGGTGGCAAAGTTTTCGATGGAAACGTTGGGGAAAAGCAGCATTGAACCCACATTGCAGACTAGACAGAAAGAGAGAGAGAGAAAGATGCAATCATCACCTCTTCTGGGGACCCCTGTCCTGTGAGGACTTGTCTCCTGCCCTTCCAACCCCCATTCCCTGAGGATACCAGCAGAGACCACCCCCACCCCTGTCTCTTGCAGAGTGCTCATTTGCTTGCACAATTGTTCACTCACCCCTTTCACCAAGCATGCTGAAAAGATCTGCCCACAACTAAGCCTGTCCAAGGAGAAATCCCCCTGTCCCTCTCTAGCACCTCCACTGGGGAGCACAAGCACTCCACAAGTATGACATGAGAGATCATAGAATCATAGAAAAGTAGGGCTGGAAGGCAGGATCATCCTTATCCAAACCATCTTATACAAATCCAAATAAGTTAGACAACTTATTATTACTAAAACTAAACTGTCAACCCTTCCACAATGTCTTGCACCTAGCTGGCATGGAGTTCAGTGCTATACTCCCTATTCTTCAGGTACAGACCTAGGGTCAGAGGGAAAAGGGCCTCATTTCCAGACTGCCAAGTGCCTGCTGCTCCCGTGATGCATTGCTCAGCACCCTGGAGAATCAAGCACAAGGTACTGATCTGCACCAGGGCTGAGACCAGAACCAAGGTCTTCTGTGTTTCAGCCTCATCTCCTGCAGCCTGGCTGAGCCTGGGCTGTGCTCGGTCTCCCACTGCTGGGCTGAGCTCCATGGAACCCAGGGCTGGGCGGGGGAGATGGAGGGCTGGCGGAGCCGATCAGAGCACAGCCCAGTGGCGGAAGGTGGACAGAGCCGGTGTTGCCCTCCGTTCACCGAGCGCAGCCTGGTGGTGGGAGGTGGGCAGAGCCAGCGCTGCGCTCTGCCTCCTACTGCCAAGCTGAGCTCCATGGGGCTGGCAGGGCTGATCAGAGCACAGCCTGGCAGCGGGAGATGGGTAGAGCCAGTGCTGCCCTCCGTTTGGCTCCACCAGCCCCACGGAGCGCAGCCCAGCAGCAGGAGGCGGGGAGAGCCAGGGCTGAGCCGCATGGGGCTGCGGAGCTGCCCCTGTGTCCCACCACCTGGCTGCTTCGAAACTCGAAATGTTTTGAAATTTTCAAAATGTTTCGAGTGGCCTCATTTTGTTTAGAAGCTACTTCAGTGCTTTTTGTTTTGTTTCAATTTCACTGTTTCGAGCTCAAAACACGTTGAAACACTTTTGAAACAAAAAAGTTGGCGAAATTTCATACAGCCCTACTAGAAGCCTAACAGAAAATCCTGCTGCATGTGTGTGCAAAATCCAGCAGTGTGGACATCTCCCAGCCAATTCCTCATATTCTTTACTTATTCTCTAAATCCCCACAAGATCTAGAAAAGAAGCCAAACTCTTGTTCGGGGCCATGTGTATTTCAAATAGCTGGTGGGAATGTATGAGGAAAGTGATTTCTTTATGGCAATTGTTCTGAGTAAGGCAGCAGTAGCTGATGCTTTCCAGAAGCCTGGGGCCAGGGAAGTGCCTCAAATCCTGTGTGATGCTAAGGTTTAGCTCAACCTCTCCACCTGCAGGTGGGAAGAAACTGCATTTTCACTGCTGCTGGAGCCAGGCAGGAGGACCTGAACAGAAAGGGGAATTTGCATCTAGCCAGGGAACATTTCAGCCCAAAGGAACGTGTTTGACAAAATTACCAGCAGATGAAAAGCAGGATTTAGCATCATATATTGACATCCATGCTTGAAGGTGCTCTCAGGCACCTGCTATCATGCTATGCGTGTACGTGCCCAATAACTCTCTCCACCTGTATCTTTCTGAAACTGCTACATTAGAAGGCTGTTATTTAGCAGACTCCAGCACGTGAAAATTATGACATGCCAGATCGACAGTTGCTCACACAACTTCTGTTCAAATTCCAATCTGCACAGGGAGGGTAGAAGGTACCTGTGGAAAAACAGCATGTGACCATGTAATTAAAGATAATGAGGCAGGCTACCTGTAAATCTGGCACTTCCAAGCTTTTAAGGCTGGACTTTGCAACCTAAACAAGCTTGTTCCAATGTAGCTGTTTTAGTATGAAACTTCCTAGGTTGTTTAAAAAACAAAATAAAACCAAATTTTGTTACCTGCAACTATAAAAATCTCCCCATCACTGTCAGCTGGTTTGAACCTAAACCATTAGCACTGGAGGAGGCTGACAGCTAGTGACACATGGGGCTAAATACATTAGCTGTTAGCATGAAAAGGGAATGGGTTACTGGAAGCATATATCAGGGAGAGAGGAAGTTCAGATGGGCTCCTGCCTTGGTGTTTTGTGTCCAAATGGTTAATCGGGAAGCTTAGGTCACCGTATGTTATACCTCAGGTAGTGAAAATGCATTGCTTGGATTACATGCAGGGTCTGGACAAGGGGATGGGGCGGGAGGGGAGTTACAGGGAGACCTGGGTCCTCCTTTATTGTTCCTCCACAGCCACCCGCTCAGTGATGTGTCTCCACTAGGGGGCCTGCTGACATAGCTTGGCTGGCAAAGCTGCAGCAGCCCCATTAGATAGACAAGCTCAGATAATGGTGATTTTTAACTCTGCACTTCAGCTATAGTCATAGGCCCTGACTTTT